ACCAATTAGCTTTCGCCGTTTCAGTACAACGATCGGTGATTGGGTTTTGTACAGGTTACCGCTCACCCATATTGCCCTTATTTAATGACTCTTAGTGATACAAACTCAGTAAATCAGAGTAATACACCTCTATTATAGTGTACAAATAAAACGCAGCACTTAACCACGTGCCCTCCAGAGGGTTTACCCCCCTTCCCGACCAGGCCATTTTTTATGTTACAGCCTGTGCGGTTTTTTATTTTTTGCGCTATAAAAAAAAAAGACTGACAATTTTAACCACTTCCCGACCGGCCGTTGCATATAAACAGCCGGACGGTGGCAGTGCAGGGTCGGATGGCTGTTTATAAAACGGGCTTCCCCGCATCCTGCTTGTGCGCGCTCCCTCGGAGCGCTCAGCACCGCGATCCAGTGCCCGCTGTTTCCTCCGGACACAGTGAAACACCGATCGTCGGACGGGACCTCTGTACAAGGTCCCGATCATGTGATTGGCCAATCAGTGATCACATGCAAAGTAGTAAGCAAGATGTCACTTGTGACATCATTGCTTACTACGTGTGAAATCTGTGAATGATCCCAGAGGTCACATGGTACAAGGCTATTCACAACAGCCTTGTACCATGTGACAAGCTGTGACCAATCACAGCTCACTCAGTACTTCTCAATGAGTGCAAGAATGCAGACAGAGAGAAAGAGAAATGATTGCTTTTACATCCTATATGGGTGTAAAAGCAATCAGTGTAAAAAAAAAAAAAAATCTTCATCACCCCCCACAAGTTGTACAGTGTCACCATGGTGACACTGTACTGCTAGGGTGACAGTATGTAAAAAAAAAATAAATAATAATAATATAAAAAATAAAACAAAAATGTAAAAAAAATGTTTAAAATTATAATTTTTGGTTATAACTAATTTGGATTTTTTTTTTTACTAAAAAGATAACGGAATAAATTTTGGCAAAGATTTATGATGAAATATTATTTATTTGCAAAATTTTATTAAAAAAAACACTTTTTGGACATTTTCATTTACATAGCAAAAAAAATAAAAATCCCAGCGGTGAATAAATACCACCAAAATAAAGCTTTATCTGTGTCAAAAAAATGGTAAAAAATTCATTTGGGTACAGTGTTGCATGACCGCGCAATTGTCATTCAAATTGTGATAGCGCTGAAAGCTGAAAATTGCCCTGGTGAGGAAGGGGGTAAAAGTGTCCGGTCTGGAAGTGGTTAAGAAAAAAAACAATACTTTTGACTTTTTGTTATTAACCTCTTGCCCTCCTGAGGAGGCCAGGCCCGACCAGGCCATTTTTTATGTTACGGCCTGTGCAGTTTTTATTTTTTGCGCTATAAAAAAAAAGACTGACAATTTTAGGAAAAAAAAAATACTTTTGACTTTTTGTTATTAACCACTTGCCCTCCTGAGGATTTACCCCCCGTCCCGACCAGGCCATTTTTTATGTTACGGCCTGTGCGGTTTTTTATTTTTTGCGCTATAATAAAAAAAGACTGACAATTTAAACCTCTTCACGCCAACCGAACGCAAATGCGCGGCCTCCCAGCATCTGGGCCTAGACGCCGAGTGGCCGCACATTTGCGTTCTATTGAAAAAGAACATATGTGCTGAGATTGCGCTCTCAGCACACATGTCCGGTGCTCACGGAAAGGTCCCGATCTCCTCTTTCGATCAGGACCTTTCCCGATCATGTGACCGCCGTGACGGTGTGTCACGGCGGTCACATGACCCTAAACCCCGCTCCGCCTCCCGGCTTCTGGAACCCTTAAAGGGCCAGGAGGCACCGGCGCCAAGGGGTTAAGAAAAAACAATATTTTTGACTTTTTGTTTTTAACCACTTGCCCTCCTGAGGATTTACCCCCCTTCCTGACCAGGCCATTTTTTGCATTACGGCACTGCGTTTAACTGACAATTGCGCAGTCATGCAACGCTGCACTGAATTGAGCTTTCTTTTGGTGGTGTTTGATCACCTGTGCGGTATTTTAGTATATGTATCTCAATACCATAAACAGCAATACCAAAAACAATCATAGAGACTTGAGAAAAAAAATTACCTGTATAAACTGATAGTCAATGCAGCTATATAACAATAATCAACAAAATATTATATGGTGAACTGAAGTGTTAGTTTCTATACACAATAACACAAAGTCTGTGTGTGTGTGTCTGTGTGTGTGTGTGTGTGTGTGTGTGTGTGTGTGTGTGTGTGTGTGTGTGTGTGTGTGTGTGTGTGTGTGTGGGGGGGGGGGGGGGTTGGTGGATTTACTAAAGTTAAATAGACTGTGCAGTTGTACTCATTTTCCCCAATGCTTAGTGAATGTGGTGAAGCTTCACTTTGGAAAGAACGCCCAATTCCTGATTCCCTGCTTACAGCAGAATATAAACTAACATTGCCAGCTTTAACCACTTGCCCTCCTGCGCCCAAAAAAATGTACGTCCTTTTTTTCCCATGAATTGAGCTTTCTTTCGGTGGTATTGGATCACCTGTGCATTTTTTATTTTTTGTGCTATAAAAAAAAAAGCTGACAATTTTGAGAAAAAAAAAAACAATATTTTTGACTTTTTTTTGCTATTAACCACTTGTCCTCCTGAGGATTTACCCCCCTTGCTGACAAGGCCATTTTTTGCGTTACGACGCTGCGTTGCTTTAGCTGACAATTGCGTGGTCATGCAACGCTGCAACCAAAAAAATGCATGGCCTTGTTTTCCCACGAATTGAGCTTTCTTTTGGTGGTATTTGATCACCTGTGCGTTTTTTATTGTTTGCGCTTTAAAAAAAAAGGCTGATAATTTTGAGAAAAAAACTATATTTTTGACTTTTTGCTATTAACCACTTGCCCTTCTGAGGATTTGCCCCCCCTTCCTGACCAGGCCATTTTTTGCATTACAGCACTGCGTTACTTTAACTGACAATTACATGGTCACGCAAAGCTGCACCCAAAAAAATTGACATCCTTCTTTTCCCACAAATTCAGCTTTTCAGCTTTCTTTCAGTGGTATTGGATTACCTGTGCATATTTTATTTTTTAAGCTATAAAAAAAAAACACACATTTTGAGAAAAAAAAACAATATTTTTGACTTTTTACTATTAAAACATGTACAGTAAAAATTTTTTTAAAAAATCTAATTTCGTCATAAATTTAGGCCAAAATGTATTCTGCTACATGTCTTTGCTAACAAAAAAAGCGTTTTTTAGCGTTTACAAATGGCGTTATAGATACTTGAATTTTTTTAATTTTTAGTAGTAATGGTGGCAATCAGCAACTTATAGCGGGACCGTGGTGGGCATTCTGACACTGGGGGGAACTGACTTGGTGTCACATCCCCAGTGACACCAATACAGTGATCAGTGCTAAAAAAAAATTACTGACACTGTACCAAGAGCACTGGGCAGGAAGGGGTTAACATGAGAGGCGATCAAAAGGTTAACTGTGTGCTGTTTTACTTGTGTCTGTGCTTCACTGTAATTACACTGTAATTACACTGCTTTGGATGGCTGTGCTGTGCACAGCCATCCAAAGCAGTGTGCACAAGCTGACAGGGAGGAGAACTGCATTGTTTACACACAATTCTCCTCTCCATCAGAGATGCTCGGCAATCCACAGGCGGTGGCAAGAATTCACTGGGTGGGATCTGGTGATTGACAGCCATGGCTGCAAACCGCAGCATGAGTAGGGTACACGTGCGCCTCGCACACACCCCTTACCCGGAAATGCAAGATCACGTATATATACGTGATTTTGCACACCCTTGCAGCCCTCAAGCAGTATATGTGCTATAGGGCGGTCTGGAAGCGATTAAATATTTCAAGCAAAAATATATAGAAGGGGGTCACATATTTTCCAGCAGCCTTGCATGCAAGTGGTTGGTGTCACATTGGCTATCCTCGGAAGTAATTTAATCTCATCAAGGCATTTGGGGACTATTCTGCTTCGATTTCATTATTTGATATTTCACTTATGAACATTTTGAATTACTTCTGAATATTATTTCTATATATTTTTTGCTTGAAATGTTTAAGCGCTGCATTTATTTGTACACTCTTGATGAGGTGCCTGGTATCAAGGTACGATGTTCAGCTGCTATTTATTGGTGTTTTGTTTTTTCTTAGCTCAGATTTTGGGTTACGTACCTCTATTATAGGCAATAAAAATTATCTTCAAAATGAATAATGAAAAAAAAAAAAAAAACAGCCCTATAGTGCAATTGCACATGCAAGTCATTTCTTGCGGTGAAAGTCACAAATAACACAGCGCTGGGTCAATGATGAGTTAGATAAATGAAGTAAATTTAAATAAGAATTGTCTGAATTTCCAGGCAGTTCTAAAATCTGCTTCTCCCAGCCTATCCATTCTATTCAGATTCCTTTTCTTGTTACTAGAGCATTGCATTAGTTAATGCCATCAGCAGGGATGTTCTGTAACATTGCTGCCCCCAGGTGTCATGTTTATGTAATTACTGCAAAAACTTTCCTGTATCACTGACACTGCCCTAATCATGTGCCTTACCTAATTCAGACATTGTTCACAATTTTACATTCAGAAAATTGGAACAGATGGTTCTATGCAGGTAAACATTTAGCTTGATATAAGAGATCCAGTTTGTGCATTTCAGCTGGGCATCATATAAACAAATGACTTTTTCAAATACTATTTTTCTGAGTATTTCTCAGTAGAAGAGTCTCTTTTTCCTTTTAATTTTTTTTTATTAGTGCTGTGTCTCCCAGGGGACATAGATCATGCGGTGCTTTGTCTCACCTTCCTACATGCTGTGGTCATTTATCTATGTAGTTGAACAGAATAGCCCCCCTCCCCCTACAACGCCCAACAACACACCTAGCAAGAAGATGGCTGCAGTGATAATGGCACGTATCTCCACCTTAAAGTGATACTAAACCCCAGACTCTGCATTCACTCTATCTGGTCTCCCACAGTACACAACATGGAAATGCAATTATTTTAGTGTATATATAATCTGCTATATACAGGGGCGGACTGACCATTTGGAAACTCGAGCACTGCCCGAGGGCCCGGGGTCAGTAAGGGGCCCCATGAGATGCCACTGGTACCTTTTTCATAGGCTTTTTTGAGTTTGGGCAAGGACACAGGGGCCCCATGATCCCCTATTGCCCGGGGGCCCCATGAGTTGTCAGTCCGCCCCTGGCTATATACCTTTTCTGCATCAGGAGTATATAGCACTCGTGTGACTTCTATCATCCGGCTGAGCACTGGTTAAAGCTTGTAGGAGAAGTTTGCACTCTTCTCTGACCAGGGGTGGACTGACCATTTGGAAACTCGGGCTCTGCCCGAGGGCTCGGGGTCAGTAGGGGGCCCCATGAGATGCCCCTGGTACCTTTTTCATAGGCTTTTTTTGAGTTTGGGCAAGGACACAGGAGCCCCATGATCCCCTATTGCCCAGGGGCCCCATGAGTTGTCAGTCCGCCCCTCCCTCTGACTGTCCTATGAGGCTGCATAACCCCTGATCCTCTGTCTGGACAATGCTGATTAGCCCTGTGCTGATCACATGCACTCTCCCAAGAAACACTCTAGCAATACACACCAAATTGAGCATGTGCATCTTTCCCCTAATGCTCTGTACTACCAGCAGATGGATTGGGGACAGAGGAGGGGGAGGATCAGAGAAGACAGGACGAAGCAGTGTTTTTTTACACAGTGTGGAGGATTAACCCCTTAGGTTCCACAGGGAGTATAACAAGCAGGCATTACTGCATATACAGACAGACAGTAAAACTTTAAGCTGGCCATTCACTGGTAGATTTTGAAGATTTGTAAGATCATTCATATAAAAATTCTCAGGTCATTTGATGGCTTGAAGAATTAAAAAAAAATCCTTCAAAAAGTCTGATTTCGAAATGAATGTAATTTCTCCCCCAAAAAAACAAAAAACATATGCAGAGTTAGAAATTTGTTCGTATGAGAAAAAAATAGTCCCTTCTGCTCCTTTGAATATTCTAGTCACTGTGGTTGAAAACAAACATCCATTTTTGCCCCAGTAACGATTAGAAGATTGAACAAACATTCTTAAAACAAAAAAATAAATAAAAACTCTACTAGTATATTGTAAAGCCTCCTTTGGATAGTATTGATGACTGGGCTGATTTACTAAAGCAGTGGTCTCCAAACTGCGGCCCGGGGGCCAGATGTGGCCCTTTGCTTGCTTTTATCTGGCCCTTGGGGCACTATTTCATCCACTGATGCCAACAATGAGGCATAATTAGCCACCACTGACACCAATGAAAGGGCACAATCCCTCCCAATGATGTCAACAATGTAGCAAAATTCCTCCCAATGATGTCAACAATGTAGCACAATTCCTCCCAATGACATCAACAATGTAGCATGATTCCTTCCAATGCCATCAATGATAGGGCACAATTCCTCCCGATGACATCAACAATGTAGCATGATTCCTTCCAATGCCATCAATGATGGGGCACAATTCCTCCGGATGACATCAACAATGTAGCACGATTCCTTCCAATGCCATCAATGATGGGGCACAATTCCTCCGGATGACATCAACAATATAGCACGATTCCTTCCAATGCCATCAATGATGGGGCACAATTCCTCCCGATGACATCAACAATGTAGCACAATTCCTTCCAATGCCATCAATGATAGGGCACAATTCCTCCGGATGACATCAACAATGTAGCACGATTCCTTCCAATGCCATCAATGATAGGGCACAATTCCTCCGGATGACATCAACAATGTAGCACGATTCCTTCCAATGCCATCAATGATGGGGCCCTATTTGTCCCAATGACACTAACAATGGGGTCCAGTGACACCAACGATGGGGCAAAATTCATCCCACTGACTAAAAAGATGGGCCATTGTTGTTTCCCACTTAAGTTTTTTACCTTTTCTACTCCTAATGGCCACAGTTTGGCCCCCCTAAAGTCTGAAGGCCAGTTTACTGACCCTTTGTTTAGAAAGTTTGGAGACCCCAGTACTATAGGATTGTGAAACCCTTCCCACAATAAACTGTGTAAATATTCAGTTGTTCAATAATTCAGTCATGTGAAGATTAAATAAGAAAGCAGGCTTGGGACAAGCATAGATCTATACTGACGTTAACGGAAAAAGAAAAAAATGTATAAAAAACAAAGAAACCTGCAGACTTGATGGACCACTCTGTCTTTTTTCTGCCATCATTTTTATGCGTTTCTATGGAATTTGGTTTTCACGTGATTACATAGTTGTATAAGATACCACTTTGTGAATGGAGCCCAATGTCATATAATATAAATACTACAGATAAAGCTGGTGTTAGTTGGAGCAGAAAATAAATAAATGAAAAAAATAAGAAAGATAGACAGAAAATAAAAATAAAGTCAGATGTGCCGATCGGGTGGTGCGCGTTCCATGTTTTTGATTAGTGCACATACTGGCTAGTGCCCGACTTAGTTTCTATGCAGTGCCCATACCAACTACAAGAGTTATGTATGTTACAGGTTCATTTATTATGACATTGTGGCTCCTTGCACATGCTTTTGATTGGTGGATGGCACTTTAAATGTTTGTACATTGTATTATGTACCTTATCACATGCCATATTAAGGAGTCCTGCATGGCTCCAAAATATTGCTCTTAACCACTATGATTTGACCACTTGATTAAACATTTAGACAACCTTTTCAAGATCTGCGGTGTGCTGCCATTCTGTAGTTGCTACAACACCTGCCTAATCTTCCGATTCCATGAATGTGTGTGATGGAAATATTTATGCGAAGGGTCTTCAAAAAGTTTCCACACTTTAATATATATATTCATGGTTTAAGAAAGCGCAGAAACTTTTTGAAGAATCCTGGTGTAAAAGCATATTGCCAAAAGTATTGGAACACCTGCCTTTACACACACATGGCATCCCAGTCTTAGTCCGTAGGGTTCAATATTGAGTTGGCTCACCCTTTGCAGCTACAACAGCTTCAACTCTTCTGGGAAGGCCGTCCACAAGGTTTAGGAGTGTGTCTATGGGGATGTTTGACCATTCTTCCAGAAGCGCATTTGTGAGGTCAGGCACTGATGTTGGATGAGAAGGTCTGGCTCACAGTCTCTGTTCTAATGCATCCCAAAGGTGTTCTGTTGGATTAAGGTCAGGACTCTATGCAGGCCAGTCAAGTTGCTCCACCGCAAACTGGCTCATCCATGTCTTTATGGACTTTGCTTTTTGCACTGGTGCACAGTCATGATGGAACAGGAAGGGACCATCTCCAAACTGTTCCCACAAAGTTGGGAGCATGAAATTGTCCAAAATGTCTTGGTATGCCGATGCCTTAAAAGTTCCCTTCACTGGAACTAAAGCAATTCTAAAGGTTCATTTTTTTTTGTAAAATAACAAACATGTCTATAGTTACCTACTATGTGTAGTGGTTTTTCAAAGAGCAGCCTGGATCCTCCTCTTTTCAGGTCCTCCGCAGGCTCTCCTGACTCCTGTCTGTCGGGTGCCCCCAGCGCAAGCAGCTTGCTATGGGGGCACCCGCTTCCCTGTGTGTCAATTCACACACAGAGCTGTGGCTTGGCCCCGCCCCCCTCCTTCTCCTCATTGGCTGACTGGCTGTGATTGACAGTAGTGGGAGCCATTGGCTCCCACTTGTTGTCTCATCCATTGAGGAGGCAGAGACCCAGGCTGTCATTCACATCGCTAGATCGCTGGATTGCTGGCTCAGGTAAGTATTGAGGGGTTTGGGGGCACTGCTGCACACAGGTTTTTTACCATCATGCATAGAATGCATGAACGTATAAACCCTTCAGCCTTTGCAACCACTTAAGGGGCCAAACCCAACACCAACCCCACAACATAATCCACCCTCCACCAAAATTTACACTTGGAACAATGCAGTCAGGCAAGTACCGTTCTCCTGGCAACTGCCAAAACCAGACATGTCCATCGGATTGCCAGACAGAGAAGCGTGATTCATCATTCTAGAGAACACATCTCCACTGCTCTAGAGTCCAGTGGCGGCATGCTTTACACCACTGCATCCGACGCTTTGCATTGCACTTGGTGATGTAAGGCTTGGATGCAGCTGCTCGGCCATGGAAACCCTTCCATGAAGCTCTCTACGCACTGTTGTTGTGCTAATCTGAAGGCCACACGAAGTTTGGAGGTCTTTAGCTATAGACTCTGCAGACAGTTGGTGACTTCTGCACACTGTGCACTTCAGCAAGCTCTGACCCCACTCTGTCATTTTACGTGGCCTACCACTTGGTGGCTGAGTTGCTGTTGTTCCCAGTTGCTTCCACTTTGTTACAATACCACTAACAGTTGACCGTGGAATATTTAGTAGCAAGGAAATGTCATGGATGGACTTATTGCACAGGTAGCAACCTATCACGGTACCACGCTTTGATTCACTGAGCTCCTGAGAACGACCCATTCTTTCACAAATGTTTGTAGAAGCAGTCTGTATGCCTAGGTGCTTGATTTTATACAACTGTGGCCATGGAGGTTATTGGAACACCTGAATCCAATGATTTGGAGGGGTGTCCCAATACTTTTGGCAATATAGTATATATATATATATATCTCACAGAGAGGGCACATACTAGGGAATACCAGTGAGGGTAACAGGTCTCTCACAAGCCACCCTGTTCAGCCTCCTCTTCTCTGTTCCCCTAGGTACTATACTCGCTACCTTGCCTTAGCAGTGAAGAGTCCCTGGAAATTGATTTAATATGTTAGCAATCGGCATCCAGTGGGTTAAGCCATATGAAGTCGTGCATTATGCATTGCATTAGAGACAAAATAGCACCTTAGTGGAAATGTGATACCTTAGTAACACAAAATTCCACATTCCATTAAATTAATTCATTCCTCATACAATTGATACATTACAAATGTTACAGCATAAATAAAATGGAAGTAATTGCCATTATTTACTTTGTATTTTACATTATTGTTTTCATTTTTACATTTGAATTAAGCACAGTCTATCTACTGCCTGACTTGAGGTATTAAACCTAAAAACTAGAAATTTAATTTATTGCGCCCTGCCAATTGTTAAATGTGGTGTGCTGCATTAGTATCCTTTTTATGCTTTTGTTTCTGTTATTTTTATCTGGTGATCTAGCCAGTAAGTCTGTTATTTTTTTCAACAACCTTTAACAGACCA